CCAGTAGATTTCCTTGGCCAAATCCCACCATTGTTCCAGCTGCAGATAGAGAAGGGGTACAGGCTGTGGTTCAAAATCACACCTCGAGACAAAAGAAAAACCAAAAAAAAAATCCTGTCCAATATTTTTACATTACAAACATGTAAAAGTAAATCAGCATAGTGTTTAGATTTGAATATTCAGAGACTAAATTTGTCTAATAAATAATCTATTGTGAAGTATTTGCTTATTCTTGGCAATATACTAAAACTAGTAATTGTTACCATCGCTGGTTTCATTAGAGCTTGTTCTAATTGATCACCCGTGTCCTAAGACATATGCCGTTATTTCGCTGTATTTAATGAAGGACCATCAACAGATAATGCAACTTCAGAAATAACATTTATGTGCCATTCCATTTTTTCCTTCCTTCTGTTTTTCCAATTTAGTCTCTGAACCATAAAGTGTACAAACGACGAGGCTGCCTTTGAGTTGCTTTTGCATCCAACACGTAATGACAGTCAATTACCTGAACTATTATTTCCTACTGTAGAATAAATCACTAATGCCAATTACATTAAAGTCATGCTTTTATTATGTATTTGAAGCACCCAGTCAACCACCAGGAAACGTTATGTGGAATGTCACCGACTCCAGAGTCATCCTCAGCTGGGAGGAAGTCAGAGCCATGGAGAACGAGTCCGAGGTGACTGGGTATAAGGTAAGGGAGAGCAGACCAGACTGAAAGCAATCCACAGTTGGCTTTTTCTTGTCTATTTGCAAGGCAGGAAGTTCAGAAGATGCACATCTAAACCATTTCATTTGTGTCTCCGTTTTATAGACTTAAATCTTTGTGTCCCACAAACTGCTGTCCTCTCACATTAATAGTTCACTAAAAGCCTTCACCTCTTTATGCAACGCCGGGAGCTGCAGACATTGCTGCCAGCTCTTGGGGTCCCACTTGTCCAAATGTATAACACTTGGATGTTATAAAATATATATAACACTTATCACATATATAACACCTACTATAAATGTGTAACAGCCAAATGTGTAGCATTTTGAAAATAAACCAAATAATCCAAGAATAGTTTCCATGGCTGGGCAGGTCTATTTGTTAGTACTGCATATATCAAACCTCTTCTTACCTACTGTGGGTCATGCTCATTGTCTGGATAGAAATTACCTTACTACAGCTACTCTGAATCTGATCAGTGCACCAGTATGAGTATTTAAATGTCATATATCAGAAGTATGGTTAAGAGAACAGCCAAGGATGTTGTTGATGGGCAGCGTACAGCTGGATCCCACACGGTACATTCCTGCATAAAAGATTTATGCTGAAGATCTGACTGTGCAGTTGTTGTGAGTTCTGTTGGCAAGAAATACATGTTTACAGCTTTAGATCAGCCACCTAGTTTCATAGATGGAAATTTGACCTAAAAACATCCCATGAAGAGTTCCAATCTGCGTACTCTGTCTCCCAAAAGGATTTCAGGTTCCCCTGTGGATAACAGCCATTGCTAAGTGCACAAGGATAAGCTGAATTTTGATAAAGCTGGTTAATTTTACCGAAGCAAAGTACTTGGGGGGTTGTTTTCATCCCAGAAGGCCAGGGCAGTAGGGCTACCAAAAGCTGGTTTGCCAGGGAGGGAAGAGCCAACAAATGACATGAAAATGCCAGTGCAGCTGTGGACTTGAGCCACGTGCCTGTGTCCCCCCAGGAGATTTCTGTAACGTGGCACAGCGTTGGGGAGTGTGTCCCAGGGTGGCAGCGTGGCTCGAATTCCACTGACCTTGTGGGGTTTTTTTCATTATTGCTGTTATTTTGGAGGAGTTGGGATTGTGCCTTTTGCACTGGGAAGCTCCCAGACTTACCCACTTGTCAGTTTGTGAAACTCTGCCCAGAGAACACCCTAGATCCATGTATTTTTTTAAACTTTGCTGTTTCCTAGACCAGCCACTGGCACTGGGGACCCCTCGGGCAGCAGAGAGGCTGATGTTGCTCTTAAATCCCCCCTCTTGCCTGACCATGTCGAGCAGGGAGCTGTGACCCTCAGGACACCACCCAACGCCGTTGGGTTTCATGACACAATTATCACTCCACACTTGCAGAACATCTTCCATCTTCTGTACATCTTCTTCTGTAATTTTGATTAGTTCTCTCCTTCCCAAACTGCGTACTGGCGTGAGCAGTTGATGCAGATAATGACAGATTCTAAATGGTGGGATAATTTGTAGAACAATACATTATTGACATACTCAATAGAATATATTACTCATTTGTTATCATTATACATTGCGCCATCTCAGATTAAAGCTGGAATAAAAGAGCTTGATTGATGTTACCTTCTTCCTTTAAATGTAATTCTGCCCTACAATATTAACCAAAAAAATCAGATCTTTTCTCTCATCAGGTCTTTTTTAAGCCTGAAAAACCTCGTTTCTAGGGAACACAAATAAAAATGTGAGGCAGGTGCCAGCAGAAGAGGTGACAGGCTTTGCTTGTGTGGCAGGTTTTGTACAGGACCAGCAGCCAGCCCCACGTGAACGTGCTGAACACGGACAGGACCACGGCTGAGCTCTGGCTCCAGTTTAATGATGATTACATCATAGAAGTAAAAGCAACGAGTGATGGCGGAGATGGCAGCAGCAGCGACCAGATCCTGATTCCCAGACTGGCCAGTAGGTTGAACCTGAATCATTATTAATTTCTCATGTGTTTTTACAGGGTCCCCAACCAATATCAGAACCTCCGCGGCATAAAGAGGCACGTCTCTGCCTTATGAATCATTACCGAGTTTGCAGTTGACACCCAGAAGTTGTCACAGCTTGTCCTTGCAGGGATTGAGTCCTTATTGATGGGGAGGAAAAAAAAAAAGAATTAATGCTTGTATGTTGTATGGCAATAGTGTAACAAAAAGAAAAGCAATTAACAGTCTTCATGCCCTTATGCATGACAAACATCATTCTATTGAACTGGTAAATTACCATGTATATTGGTATTAAAAACATTAGATTTTTTTACTTTACTCCTTTTTTATTATTATTACCTTATTCTCCTTTTTTTAATTATTACCTTATTCTCCTTTTTTTTTATTATCTCCTTTTTTATTTATTATTTTACCAAAGACCACTCGTACAGTGTCAGCATTTTGCAATACGTTTCTGTAGTTTTAAAATACTTAGTGTAGTTTGGGGAATTTTAATTGCCTGTCAGAAATAAGAATTTGCAATAATTTTTGCTTAGCATCTAGGAAGAGTAATCATTTGACTCACACTTTGATTTAATCCTGACCTTTTTCATTTGTCACAGGTATGGATGCAAGAGGTTCTGGTCTATCAGTCTTGAACTACTGTGGGTCATGCTCATTGTCTGGATAGAAACTACCTTACTACAGCTACTCTAAATCTGATCAGTGCACAAATGTACAAGTATTTAAATGTCATATATCAGAAGTATGGTTAAGAGAACAGCCAAGGATGTTGTTGATGGGCAGCGTACAGCTGGATCCCACACGGTACATTCCTGCATAAAAGATTTATGCTGAAGATCTGACTGTGCAGTTGTTGTGAGTTCTGTTGGCAAGAAATACATGTTTACAGCTTTAGATCAGCCACCTAGTTTCATAGATGGAAATTTGACCTAAAAACATCCCATGAAGAGTTCCAATCTGCGTACTCTGTCTCCCAAAAGGATTTCAGGTTCCCCTGTGGATAACAACCATTGCTAAGTGCACAAGGATAAGCTGAATTTTGATAAAGCTTTTTTAATTTTACCGAAGCAAAGTACTTGGGGGGTTGTTTTCATCTCAGAAGGTGAGGGCAGTAGGGCTCACAAAAGCTGGTTTGCCAGGGAGGGAAGAGCCAACAAATGACATGCAAATGCCAGTGCAGCTGTGGATACCAGCCACGTGTCTGTGTCCCCCCAGGAGCTTTTTGTACATCGTTAGGGAGTGTGTCCCAGGGTGGCAGCATGGCTCTAATTCCACTGACCTTGTGGGTTTTTTTCATTATTGCTGTTATTTTGGAGGAGTTGGAATTGCGCCTTTGGCACTGGGAAGCTCCCAGACTTACCCACTTACCAGTTTGTGAAACTCTGCCCAGAGAACACCCTAGATCCATGTATTTTTTTAAACTCTGCTGTTTCCTAGACCAGCCACTGGCACTGGGGACCCCTCGGGCAGCAGAGAGGCTGATGTTGCTCTTAAATCCCCCCTCTTGCCTGACCATGTCGAGCAGGGAGCTGTGACCCTCAGGACACCACCCAACGCCGTTGGGTTTCATGACACAATTATCACTCCACACTTGCAGAACATCTTCCATCTTCTGTACATCTTCTTCTGTAATTTTGATTAGTTCTCTCCTTCCCAAACTGCGTACTGGCGTGAGCAGTTGATGCAGATAATGACAGATTCTAAATGGTGGGATAATTTGTAGAACAATACATTATTGACATACTCAATAGAATATATTACTCATTTGTTATCATTATACATTGCGCCATCTCAGATTAAAGCTGGAATAAAAGAGCTTGATTGATGTTACCTTCTTCCTTTAAATGTAATTCTGCCCTACAATATTAACCAAAAAAATCAGATCTTTTCTCTCATCAGGTCTTTTTTAAGCCTGAAAAACCTCGTTTCTAGGGAACACAAATAAAAATGTGAGGCAGGTGCCAGCAGAAGAGGTGACAGGCTTTGCTTGTGTGGCAGGTTTTGTACAGGACCAGCAGCCAGCCCCACGTGAACGTGCTGAACACGGACAGGACCACGGCTGAGCTCTGGCTCCAGTTTAATGATGATTACATCATAGAAGTAAAAGCAACGAGTGATGGCGGAGATGGCAGCAGCAGCGACCAGATCCTGATTCCCAGACTGGCCAGTAGGTTGAAGCTGAATCATTATTAATTTCTCATGTGTTTTTACAGGGTCCCCAACCAATATCAGAACCTCCGCGGCATAAAGAGGCACGTCTCTGCCTTATGAATCATTACCGAGTTTGCAGTTGACACCCAGAAGTTGTCACAGCTTGTCCTTGCAGGGATTGAGTCCTTACTGATGGGGAGGAAAAAAAAAAAGAATTAATGCTTGTATGTTGTATGGCAATAGTGTAACAAAAAGAAAAGCAATTAACAGTCTTCATGCCCTTATGCATGACAAACATCATTCTATTGAACTGGTAAATTACCATGTATATTGGTATTAAAAACATTAGATTTTTTTACTTTACTCCTTTTTTATTATTATTACCTTATTCTCCTTTTTTTAATTATTACCTTATTCTCCTTTTTTTTTATTATCTCCTTTTTTATTTATTATTTTACCAAAGACCACTCGTACAGTGTCAGCATTTTGCAATACGTTTCTGTAGTTTTAAAATACTTAGTGTAGTTTGGGGAATTTTAATTGCCTGTCAGAAATAAGAATTTGCAATAATTTTTGCTTAGCATCTAGGAAGAGTAATCATTTGACTCACACTTTGATTTAATCCTGACCTTTTTCATTTGTCACAGGTATGGATGCAAGAGGTTCTGGTCTATCAGTCTTGAACATCTTCAGCGTGTCCAGCTTCCTACTGACAATCCTTTCCTTGACTCTTCATTCAGTGTTGTGATGATACATTTGCATTTGCTGGGGGAAAGAAAAAAAGAATTGGTTACTACAGAAAAGTGCTTTTTTAAAAAAAAAAAACTGCAGTGGTTAATGCATGTTTTTCTTCTATCCTGACGTGTTTTTAAATTCTTTATATTTCACTGTAGGTTGAAGTAAAAATATCATATAAAGTTTAGCAAATCCTTTAAAAAGGAATCTAAAATGCCTTAATACTTGAACCAAAGGAGTTTACATATTACATACTTCAGATACAATGTAAGAGGGGGAGAGCAATGGTACTGGGATGGGAGTTACATAAAGCTTAGCTCAGTGAGAAACTCCATTTTTGCAGTGACACTGAATTCTTTGGGGTAGGTCCTGCCTTGTTCCTATAACATTCTGCATAATGGAGGTGAAAGCAGAGCCGTGGCATTTCGGCCGGATGGTAACACCTCGACCAAGGGGCTGCTCTTAGGACAGTGTCATCATCCGGTAGGTTTGCACTCGTTTTCTTACTGCCCTTTAGAGAAGTTATTATAAATCTAGCAAGAAATCAAAGAAAAGTCACAGTATAGATGTTAGTTTTGCACCGTCCATCTTGGGGTGTCCAAGAGGCTTCCACTCTTAGGAACTGATTTCCCAGCCGTGTTTCAAAGAAAGCTCTCTGTTCCTTTTCAGACACCTGCCCTTCCTCTCCATCAATAGATTTAGAAGTTAATTTCCTAATATCTCCTATTCTTATATTTCTTAACCAGGTTCTTTGTTCATAATCAAGTTCTCCCACCTTCAGCATCATTTTTGTTGCCCTTCTCTGAGCTCCTGTCAGTGTTCCACTAACAAAAGTGCCCAGTGGGAAGCATTATAGAAATGCAGTTGCACCATGGCCTTATGAAAGGGGACTCCTGCCACCTCCCTGCCCTGTCACGTGGGGCTTCCAGTTATGCAGCCCCAAATTATCTTGCTCTTTTATCTGCCACACTGCTCTGTAAACTCACCCTTAATTCAGTGTTACGTTCGTAATTCTCCTTCCTGCTGCTCTTTAACCAATTCAAAACTTAATGTACCCCGTTACTGTCATATGAGCCTGGTAAGTTTATGGCAATACTATAGGTTATAATAAACAAATTACACAAAACCACTTCAAGCTTGCTATTATAGAGAAATCTATGCTTTCTTTCATAGCAATATGTTAAAGATACATTAAATCTGGTACATTTGACTTCTGCAGTTGTGACTTAAGTCAAAGTCAGCCTTTTAGACACCCTTTAGAGAGCTGCCCACAGTAGAGCAAGTGTTCATGTGACATAAAACATATCCTTCTAAAGAGGTTTGGTTTTTTTTAATCTCACAGTATTACCACAACACAGAAATGTAAAGGGAGAGAACCAGGATTCATGAAATGATGGTAGCACTGTAGAAAAAAATACCTTGATATGCATTCAAATAGCAAATTACCTTATTAGTATCACATCCAGATGAAAGTACCTGCTAACTGTTGAAGTAAGCGAGATCTGTATATACTGTACATAAATAGTTATAAATGGCTAGTTGCTTTTCAATGTGGCTAACCAGTGATGTTCTCAGACACTTGCAAATGGGGGGGAGGGGGAGGGCGGGAGATGGAAAACCAGGTGTTACTAGTAAATATATAGTTATGTTTCATGCAACAAAGGGTGAATCTTTCTATTCTTGTTTCACAAAATTCTAGTCCATGTTCCTGTATTGCCATTTTCACGCAATTACATTGTATTGTTTGATTTCTAGTTATATATCTCCATGAGATATGTACCGAGTACTTTGTTTCATATTGAAAAGTTTGAAATTTATCCTTAAAACTTCCAGTTGTGTGTGTATCCTATGGTTATCTGTATGCATTTTTTTCTATTACTCTAATAAAATATTTATTACATTGAGGGATACTAGAATATTTCAAAGTAGTATTGCTTGTCTGGGTTATGTATTTGCTCACAGGGGGATTTACTGCATCTAAAAATCCTCGTTTACGTTCTTCGTAGTGTTTCTGCTTCGTGGCAGGAGGGGAGTGGTTTCCCTACCTAGAGCTTTGCTGCCCTGAGACTAAAATCCTGACATACATACCCAGAAATTGAGAGAAACGGGTGAGGAAGAGGAGTAAGGATGTCCCCAGGTCCCAGTCTGGCAGACACACGTGGAGCAGGGACCCAATGTTCTGCTCCAACTTTGGAGCTCCAGGTTTGAAGCACCACAGACAAAACGCCCCTTCCCTTTCCCAGGCTTGGTTTTCCCTTCATCCAATTGGGCTCTTTGCTCTCCTCTGAAATAAATAATTAAAAAAAAGTAATTATATTGAAGAAGAGTTAGTTCTTTATAATAATTAGTTTACTGTATCACTATTTACCATTAAATTGCATGGCCTGTTCTCCCTGCAAATTGCCTTTTCCTGACGAACCACGGCTTCCCATAAACCCAGAGACTTTGGAGCAATAAAACCTCCTCTCTGGGAACGCAGGCAAAACAGAACTAGATATTTTAAGCTTTTAAAGTGTGGCTTCTACCTGCGTTAACAGGGAGCTGATCCAGCTGCTGCACTAAGGGTAAACAGTAATCCCAACCTGTTCACGAGTGCACACACATGAGGCAAAACTGAAGGAATTTTTCTTGAGTAAATGGAGTTTTCCCTTTCAGATGGCTGTAGGTGGACACCTGCCTTGCTCTGTATTTCCCCCAATGTTCAGATTCCTCTTCCTTTCAATTGACTTCGGTTCGTTCCTCATCTCACATTAATTCAGTCAATGTTTATTTCAGTAATAATCTGACTTGGTCACCCAGGGAGAGCTGGGAAAAAAAAAAATAAGCTGTTACTGGGAAAGCAGAGGAGGAAAAGGTGAAGATCTAATAAGGGATAACATGACCAGCCAGCCCATCTCCTGCCAGTGTTTCCACAGCAGCTTCTGTCCCTAACCAAGTTCAGCAGATTCAGTCCTGGAGAAGGAAAAAAAAAAAAAAAAAAAGAAAAAAAAAATAAATGACAAAAAAAAATGGGAAAAAAACCACTTGTTGGACGGGAACTGCCCACAGCAGCTTCTGTCCCTAACCAAGTTCAGCAGATTCAGTCCTGGAGAAGGAAAAAAAAAAAAAAAAGAAAGAAAAAAAAAATCAATGACAATAAAAAATGGGAATAACATCACTTGTGTGACTGGAACTGCAGGTGCTGGGGAAGGTGTTTCTGCCATTTCACTTCGACTCGTACTCGCACCAAAAATAGACAGCACTTTATCACTTACAATTGCTGTTATTTGAAATGCAGTAAGACAGAATAATAGGCTCGAGTCGGAGTTTTTAGGAAAACACTATTGTAAAGCATATTCTTTTCAAGACCTTACCGAAAGCCAAGGCTGTGTCCCACCGAAGGCGAAGAGCAAAGCCCCAAAGAGCTGGGCAGAGGGAGCCCCAGGATACAAGCCAGTCCTGCCACCAGCTGGATACGCACCAAAGAAAAAGGAATTTGATACAGTTTTAAAAATAAAAATGTTTGCAATGGCATGTGCCTCCCCTGGAAGCCATGATGGCTTTCGCTGGAAGCCGGTACTGGGGGTGATGGGAGTGCTGGGGTTTGGGATTTGGACGTCTGGGGAGGTTTAAAGTTTCCCACCCTGCCCCACTATTCCCCCAAGGGTTGTTTTGTAAAGGGTTTCTTAAGAGTCCTACCTGTGTAACGTGTGACTTGACAACACCTGTACTTCTAAATTCTGAATTTCTCAGAGGCAGCTGGCGTAAGAATTTTTAAAAAGCCTTTTTCTTTGGACAGTTTACGCTGTCGGATGCATTGCGAACGCGCAGGATCCTCTATGAATACAAAATGAGTTAAAAACTAATATCACTTTAGCCCTAAGAAATATTGGAGATCTCCATTTTCTACTTAATTTGCCTTTCGGTGGTGGAATGCAGACGTGGGCAGTGCCTGTCGGGTTATATATGTTATGTCTTAATAACAGGCAATAAAGCAAGCTGTCCTGCATGAGGGAGTGCATTAATCTGACAGCCTTCTGTCTGAAATAAATAACAATGGAATATCGTGAAAATAAAACGAGTTTGTAAACAGGCACCCGCTCTCTTAGGAGAAACAACCTCCTCGATTGTTTTATGCTAATGCTTTGAACTCCCGAAAAGCAATAAAAAAAGGATATGTTCAGCAGAGATATAACTGAATGTAAGTTATTGTTGTTTTATTAAGCCTGCTTGATAAAAAGAGGCACTTTTTTCTTTAAATCTGGTTCGTACGTAGCGCAGGCTGCAGCATGACGGGGGGAGATGGGACATCACTTAACTCTGTCCCCAGCTCAGTCTTACCCTCTTTGGAAGGAACTTTTCCATGAAGACTTTTCCCAGTTCCTGGCGGCCTCCCCGGTGCGTGAACAGCACAGCCTGGAAAAAAAAGGACAGATATTTGTCTTTTTCCAAGCTCAACACCTGTTTCACAGCCTCAGCCAGAGGAGGCAGCCCCCACTGCACACCTACAGGAGCTTCTCGTGTCTCACCTGTGGCTGGGAAGCCTTTCCCCAGGTCAGCTCAGGATGTGGGCACCTCGTTAGCATCAGTGGGACCAGTCGCCCCATCAAAGCCCTGGCTGCAGGGTGAGGGGATGCCAGTGGACTTGGGGTCTCTCCCAAGGGCTGGAACATCCCCTGTCTATCTCCAAGAGAACCCCCCCGAGTCCACGTGTGTGTCTGTGTGTGAGTTCACTTTCCACAAATAACAGACAGTTGGGAGTCTCTAATAACTCTTGCCTGTCACCAATTTTGAGTCTATTTTTGTGTTTTGCTGACAGTATCGCCAGTCCTCTGCCTCTTGTCCTGCCTCTCGTTAGGTGCATCAAAAACTTCCCAGCAGTTTGATATTTCTATAAAACACTCTCCTTCCCTGTCATGGGGCCTCTCCATCAGCTGTAACTGCCACGCTGCGGTGGCTCCTATTGTAATTCAGACCATGCTCTTCATTTGCTTTGGTTTTGAACTCTCTCTGTTTTGAGACTTTACAGTTTGTGCATGAGAGTGTTTCAGTATTAGAATTTCACAAGACCTTCATGTGCATCTTTCCTTTGTTTTTTCCCCCATCTCTAAGGGTCAAGAAAACTTGATAAACTCATTTGGTATTAGATTCCTTTTCTTGAGCTCCTTGCTGATCTTTCTGAGGTCAAGAAGTATCTTTGAAAGTCTCTTTTTTTTTATTATTAAATGCACAAATATAGGAGACATCCCAGTAACCCTGTGTAGCATTACTAAGATACTTTCTTCCCAAAATACCTAAGATTATTTTCTTACCTTTTAAGAGTATAATTAGTCCCATGAGGTGGACCATGCCTGCTTTCTGTGCCGGGCTCTTCATTCCATCTTGGCGATTAATTCCCTCTGGGTGGGAGAACATCAAGACGTTGGGAAATGCTGAAAAGGGAAGAATCAAAAGCATCCTGTTAGGAGCCAACGGAAAAGATGCCACTTCATTACATCCATTCATTAATTCAGCCCATGATAATTCAAACTCAAAGCAACCCCTAGGCCAGGGGGACATCCCAGAGAGAGTTCAGCTCCTTCTTGCTGGCTCAGCTTCTCCAGCCTCCCAAATCCCACACCCCATGGGGTGCAGAATGGCTGGGCTGCCAGTGGAGAAGGGACACAGAGTCACTCCCCACCTCCATGGCTGAGGGTGAAGGGCTGGAATCCTCCAGCAGCACGAGAGGAGGGTTTGAATGCCCCCAGTCAAAGGTGGGACCTAAAACCAGCCACCAAACCAGCTGGCCATTAAAAAAAAATTGCAAACATTAAAATATTTCCTTTGAAAGAAAGCTCTCCCCAAGCCCTTAACACACCTTCCTCCCTCTCCGGGCCTCGGGGGGGGCCCTGGTGGTCTCCCCACTCTGCCCCAGAATTGCAGGTACTTCAAAGCACACGTAGGGACTTATTTTTAGGCACTCTGAACTCCTTGCTCAGCAGCCCTAAATAGAAGTGTGCATTGATTTATTTTTTTTGTCACCTCCAGGGAAGGTGCTGCCAACGCTCCCCGGAGGTTTGAGCGCCCAAACGAGCCCCCGCGCCCATTAATTGAGAGGGAATATCAACAGGCAGGAAAGGCATCCATTGGGATTGCTCACCCCCCTGATTTCATTTTAGGGGATCTTTCTCTTTTATGCTGGAACACGAGCAATGACCTGTGCCATCCGCTAAAGGCATAAAAAGAAACGAGGCAGAGAAAATAAGGGAAAGCCCTCTCTTTCATGCCCTTTATAATACAAATAATAAATCACTTTCCCAACTGAGGACCTGCAAAAGGAGCCTATCAAAAAGGACGTGTGTTTAACAAGAAATTCCCTCATTAGCAATCCAAGGAGGGCCACGGTTAAAGCAGACAAATAATTTAATTTTTGTCACACTTCCTAACATTGCCACCAAACTGAGGCATTTAAAGTTACACTTGTCACAACACTAATTATCTATTTGAACAGCGGAGCTCTCAGCTGATTGAATGAGTTCTTCTGCAGCGAGAACAGATCATTTCATCAGCTGCATCTGATCCGTCATTACTTTTTGGATATAGGATGTAAATCGACTATAACAAGAGAAAATACAGCTTTGGTTGGTACCTTTCCAGCAGCTTCAGATGAGAGAGAGGGGAACTCTTCTGCCGCAGCCAAAAGCTTCTGCTCATGTACTGGAAAACAGCGTCGTGGGGTTTTGTGTTGCCTTGGAAACATGAAAAATAAAGCACCATTAATTACTTATTTTCAAGCAACGGGAGTATCCAGCGCCGAGGGCCTGATCCCAGGGTAATGAAAGCCTCACCCCCATTGCAGCAGGCTGTGCCTGATGGACCTGCCCCTCTGAAGGAGGAGAGGACCCAGGCAGAGCAGAGCTCAGCCAAGCTTCACTTCTGACCGTGGTTTCCCAAAGAGCTACCAGAAGGCAACAGGCAGACACTCAAAGTGGTGGTTTGTGGTGGTTCCTTCTTACCTTCACACCCACGACTTTGTTAACGTTGTCACCTGTTTATTTATTAAAATATATGGCCTCCTTTTTCAACCTGGCACCAGCAGCTGACCTGATAAACATCCGTGAAAACACCTATAAAAACCTACATAAATCCCACGTATCCACCTTCTCCAGCCAGGAAACCAGGCTGATAGTCCTGGTCATTGGCACAGAAGCATGAGTTCAGCCAGACCTTCTGCTATCATTCTTTCTGCCGAAAACACTGCCAAATAGCAAAGTCTTCACTATAATATCTTCTGTACAATCATTTTTAACTGTTAATTAAATATTTTTTAACTACAGCCTACTTGCTTCTTTTCCTCCCATTAGTAGTGGTCCTAATTATAAATCTCTATGAAATAGGTGAAGACTAGAGACAACCTCTTCTTGTGGGCGTTTGAAGTTGTTCTCAAATTTTCTTTTGGAGAGACTGTTCACTCTCCCTGTCAGCACAGCCCAAAGCAATCAGCTACAACTCCGGCCACAAAGGTGTGGAGGGATAAAAATAATTCCAGTAAAATCCTCTTAATTTTCTCCAGGAAACCTTCTCATTTATGAACTATGCAAAGTGACGCTTCTCTTTCATTTACAATGAATATTAATCTTTATCTATCAACCCAAGCACAATTTTAGAGTATTTTTCACTCATTCATATTCCCAAGGTTGACCATCATCGCTAAAGAACTTTGATTACCTGGTTTCGGATTTGGGCCGGGTTTTAACATCGGATCATTCAGGTCGGGAAAGACCTTTAAGATCATCAAGTCCAACTGTTAACTGAGCACTGCCAAGTCCACCACTAAACCCTGTCCCTGTATGGGGTCTATATGGGGCAACCACTTTGCCCCCTGACCATCGGCATCAGCGTATGTGAAGTTCAGGATCCACTTCAGTGCCTGCAGGCGAAACGCGTCAGCAGCATCTCAAACTGCCTCCTCCACTTAGGAGGCTAATGAGCAAAATACACGAGAGACTGCGACTTCTCCAGGGTCTCTGGCTGCCTCCTCCCCACCTGAGCTGCTTTGCCTCTCAGCAACTCCTAAAAATGCATAATTAACGTTTTAAGAAAAGTAATCCTCCAGGAGCATCCGTTTGTTGAGAAAATCGTCTCTAACCAGACTCAGACTGTTCCTTTTCCCTGTCGACACTGTTCAACAACCACGGCTGAAAGGGACCGTGTGGGACACTGGTGATGGGCCCCACCGTGTGGTGGAGTGGTCTGGGGGAAAGCCACAGCCCCAGCCCCACAGCCATGGTCATACCCTGTCCCACCACCACAGCCAAAGGGGATCCGGACTCCTGCCCATAGCCACCCCCCGGCTGCTGGAAAAGCCCTGCTTTCATCATCTAACACCATGCAAACACAGCAAATGCTATTTTTACATTTGGTCCCAGCTATTTTAAGCAAAAAATGTGCTTAAAAATAAACCAAGAGACAACCTTTTCCTTTAGTGAGCTACCCATTTCTAAATGAGTTGTTTATATCAGTAATTCTGCGTTTTCTTTTCTCTCTCCAATTTTCCTCAGGAATAATGCCATTGGCAATCTCCATGAATCTCTTTTGACTCTTTCTGAAGGTTAAACTAACTACAAGAAAGCTGGATCAAAGGCAAAGAAAAACTTTATTCTAGAAGCACAGAAATATTTACATAACACAAGATAAGCTAGAACTCCTCATTTCTACCATGCAGACACGCTTGTAAAAAGCGCATAAAAATAGGCCATTTTTAATTCAATTGGGGAGGGGAGGAGAAGAGGTATTTTATAGCTCGTGTAAGAGGAGAGAGACAAGGCTGGCAATTAGCAGAGTTTGTAATGCGCCCAATTGAAAAGATCCAGAGCTTTTGGGGTTTCCTGCCTGAAGAAGAAGAGTCTTTTGGAGCCATTTTCATGCACAAGAGGAAAAGAGAATAAAGAATCCCACCGCGGGCTGGGGCTGATGCCTCCTCCGAGCAGCAAACCAAGGACCACGAGCGAGGAGCCCGGCGAAACAAGCCAAAGGCTCAAACATCAAATGACAAAGCTGACTATTGATTGGGAAGTGACTGCCAGAAACAATCACATTGATGAAGGCAGCCCTCAGAAAGCAAGAGGAGAGCTTTATTTCAACCCCCTCTTCTGAGCTGCTCTCGGAGACCCCCAGCTGCATCCACAAGTTTTGGCAGCAGTAGCATCTACTAATAGACTGATGAGAAATAATACAAACTGACCTAGGGTTACTCATTGCAGAACAATAATAAAAATGAGATAAAAGAGACGTTTTTCCCAACATATTTTCAAGAACTGACCTCTTTTTGGTCAGTTCTAGTAAATGCAGAATAATGGGAAGTTCAATACGCTTATTGATATTTATTCTAATGAGTTCATCATCTCTCCTCACCGATGGGCTGGAACCAAACCCATACATGTTTCAATATCAAACACCCACTTCTGCCTGCCCTCGGAGGAGCAGAGCTATCCATTCTGCGGTTAATTAGCTATCCTCTAGGAAGAAACAAGAAAGGCCATGTTTTAAATTAGATCCATCTGGTAAAGGCTTTCTTGAAAAGATGAGACTTATGTCATGCTTTGGAGCTATCAGAGGCAGAGGTTTCCCAGCAGAGGCCATCTGTCTCGGATAACTGCTGCCAGGCCTCAAGATTATCAATTAGTCCATAATGATTGTTTATTTGGAAAAGCTGACTGCGGGGTCAGGAGGCTGACCTCAGAGTCCAAACATCATGGTGGAGTCTAATAAAGGTAGGGCTTTTATTCAAGGGAAAAAAAGGACTCTTGCTCTTCTTTGAGTTCAAGTAAGAACTGAGACACGACTGTTTGTGGCTGCTTTCCTACTAGAAAGTGTGGGACAGGTTCAGGTCCCACCCTGAACCAAGGGGTTTTAACCCACTATCTCTGATTTTCTTGAGGCCTCATGGATCAGAGCCCTCTCTTACACCACCACTGCCCGTAGCTGCCTGAACTCCCAGCTCCACGTCCAGGATGCTTTTAGAGATGAAGGTACCACCATTTCTAGACCAAGATTGACGTCCTAACTAGGCTCCAATACACACAGCCCATGGCATGGTCACAACCACATCTTCAAGGCTAAATTCCCACAAATCACCCTTCCCAAATCTCAGAGGAATCTCAGACCACAACCAGCCTTGGATTTGGGGTTTTTTTTCCCTTATTCTATGCAGTTTCAATTCATTTCCAACGTGCCACGTGCTCTATTCTCTGGTCACAGTGCAGCTGAAGTGCAGTCACACGAGTCCTGCCATTACTAAAGCAGCTTCTGTCTCGCTGCTCTTATCGGGGCAGCACAGGGCTGGGACCAGCTTGTAAGGAGAGAAATTGCTTACATAATTTATGATGTCTCTTGTTGTCAAAATAACCAGAAAAGCTTAAAAATATAAGCAGACAATACGCTTAAAATGTTGAATTATATGGTAGTGACACAGAATGGGAAACACTTGAAATTAGATGAGAATGAAAAAGTAAGGTATTAGAGAAATGTCAAACATTTTCTGTATTGAACTCATCAATAATGCATTCTACATTGCTTTAAAGACAGAAGATGATGACATCCGGGTGGGTCAAGGAAGGTATTTGAAGTGCCAGTAAGTGGGCTCTGCTGGTGGCGTGTCACACCTGGAACCCCCAGGGAAGGGCCCTGCCAGACAAGCTGCTGTTCATGGGCTTTACAGGCATTTTTCATTGGGGATGAGGAAAAAAGTGTGTTTGGACACCTATTGCTCTACATGTGCAGAAAACCTAAGTTATGTGAGCACAGTAATTCATACACAGAGAAAACAGATGCAGAAATGAAATGCCAAAAGGTGCTGGAGCATCGCTGGTCAGAGCGAAAACCTTCCTGTGCACAGGTACGGCAGGGCAGGAATCCTGGTGCCCAACTTTGGGATCTACTCACTTAAATAGATGTGGACCAACATCTAAAGTACATACACAGAAGACCGAGGGAGCAGCTGGCTGTTTTCTAAACACCAGCAGCAGAGAAGATGCTGATTGGCAGGTTGTGGATGGATACCGCACATTTTAGAAATTAAACTACACTTGTTAGGTTTTTTTGTTTGGTTTTTGGTGGGGTTTTTTTTTACCACATCAGTTGGATTTCTGTCTGTGGGAAACTTTTTCCTCCGAGAGGCTCTTTTCATGGAAACAGCAGGGCATGGAGTGGTAACAGTGTGAAACCAGAGATCTGGAAAAGCAGCGCCGTTCTGCAGGAAGCAGAACATTTGCATGTTAAGCTGCATCTATTCCCCAAACACTCCAGACACGTGAAAGCAAACCCCGATTTTCAGTTGGTGGCAGATCTTTTAGCTCCAGCCTGGCTGTAAAGGTCGGGAGTGTGTAGAGCTCTCTGGGTTCTCCCTGGGAGCCAAGCACGGGCTGAGCCGCGTGGGGACGTGGGGGTCACACTCCCAGTGTCTGACATCGGCCCCTGATACACTGGGATGTCGTACGAGAGACACTTGTCTGGTATCAGTGACCTTAACAAGAGCTTTTTAGCACTCGTCAGGGCCATGACAGCTGAATCACTCCAGGCATGTAAATGCAGCGCGAGGGGAAAGCAACCAAACGAAACCCACTGTCCTTTTCACAAAACACGGCCCTGGGGGAAGTTGAGGACATTTAAACTCTATTTTAACCCTTCTCATCTTCGGAAATCAAACTTATTTTTTTGACCAGGCTGAAGCTTTGCTACCTGACGTGGCAATTCTGCCCTCTGTGCAGCTGGAGGGGTGAGCAGGGCTAACACCCACCCCCTGCCTCCATGCCCACCACCACAGACAGTGCCACCTCTGCCACCTCACCACCGCCACCACCACCGGCAGGGCAGGGATGCTCACCTGTGCTTCTCGCTCCTCCTCATCCTCCATGGCACCCTGATGGATGGTTGAGCACTCCAAGGTTGTCATCGACGCCCCCCGCGCTGCGTGTTGATACGGCATACACCACCGTGCCGTTTCCTCCCCTTCTTCAGCACTCAGGAACAGGTGAAGTGGGAGATAAAAAATAAAATTATGAGCCCTGTCATTGTCCTCCAAATGAGAAACACCGATGTGGCCGCGTATTTGAATAGTCAGGAAAGGGGCAGACCCACACACTGGATTTATTGACATAAATGTTGGTCTCAGCTATTGAATTCCTGACGAAGGCTGCAGAAAAATTGTGTGTATGCAGACTGGGTATGAGGGAAGGGCTTGCTTTTGCCTGCCAATATATAAAGGACTCAAGTGATTGCTGGTTTGTTTGGGTTTGTGATTAGATTGATATGGCTTATGCCCACGTATACTGCTGATGTAGATGAGCAGAAGCTCATCTCTAAGCTAAGAGCTTTGGATTCACCTGAAATGCACTGGGAGCCAGTAGGGAAGGACCCCTAGAGAGACTGATTCAACCCCAGAAAGGAGCAGATACCCTCCAGAGGGTTATCATGGGCTGGTCATTTATCTCACCCAGGCTGGTGAGGCAGCACATGCTCCCATTTCCTCTGGAGGTGGAGCACAAACTCTGAAGCCACAAGGAAGGGAGAAACCCCTCAGACTCCCTAGCACAACTGCACAGAGTGGGACTTTAACCTGTTTCAAGATGTTCTCCTTCCCCTCTTCTTCCTCTTGTGGTGCTGAGAGGCAGATTCTCACATATGTGAAGGAAAGAGCCTAAACTCAGAAGAATACTATTTTAAAGATGAGCATGCCTTACTCAGAAACCCTCATGCTTCTCTGCGGGCTGAGTTCAGGTCTGACAGCAGGTTGTCTCACGGGGACAGCCAGCATTATGCAGGGGCAGTGGGCAGACACAGCTGGTGTCACCAAGCAAGCAGACTTGCTTAGCAAAGCAAAACATCCACCTGGGGCTTGGGAAGACTCAGGTTCTGGCCTCCTGGTTCCCCTGCACGAACGCGCTCACGCTCTGCTCTGCTGCCTCCACAAGCGCTGACGGTGCTGAGGCACCTGGTGTGCTGAGACCAGTGCTTATCCTGATGAGGAACGTGACACAATTGCTTGGGGTTTTGGGGTTATTTTTAGCTTCTCGCTGTATCTAGGTAAGTCCCTTGTCTTACACTTAGAGCAAGTTTTCTGTTCCTTTCTGCCTGTAAACCTCCTACCCAAAGGCACCTTCTTCCAGCGTCGCAGTCCCTGGGGCATCCCTTCATGGCAATATTTGACACTCTGAACTCTTGGAGGTTTGCTCTGTCATCCAGCACCAGGGAGCCCTCCCAGCTCCAAAGCACCTTGAAAGACTCCAAGAGATTCTCCTTTTCCCTCTCTCCTTTCAACAAATCCACACCTGGCCATCATGCTGGCTTACGACATCCAATCCTACTTTGCACCCCTCTAATCTCTCGCCTGTCCTTGGGCAAGTCACAAATCTATTACTATTCTGGGACTCAAATGCTACCAACACAAACCACTGAATTTGCTAAGAACTCTTCTCCATTTCAACTATATCTGCTCTGTGCATGTTGATTAATTTCCCCAAGCTTTACTGCTTCATTTAAGGTACAGCATCCCTGTGTGTAAGGCAAAAGTGATATTACGTAGAGGTTGGAAACATCTGTAGCTCACAATGGCCACCTGAAATGGGGTTATATAAGGTTGCAGAGAGTACCAAAAATTTCAAAATAGAGAAAAAATTATTTCTGACACACACCTATAAAATGGAAATATTGTGTATTACCTTTAAATGTGTTCTTTTATGAGAAATGTGGTCGTACTGCATTTAAACATGTAACTACCTCAGGATTTAGAGCATCAGTTGAAAATTTTCATGGTCAAGATAAAAAAAAATAAAATTAAAAAGCTTTGAATCAGAGTTGCTCACCTTTCACATGCTCATTTGGGGTCTGCTCAGGCTTTCAGGCACAAACAGCTCCATATCTTACAGCACGTTCACGGCGTGGCCAGCGAAGATTGCCTTTGGAGAGACGAGAAAAAAGAAGCTGAAGCATCGCAGAGACTCTGTATTTGGGGAATACTGAGGAGTCACTGTCAATAAGGCTCAACACTGTACAACCAGCAAAAAAAAACTTCACCAGGAGTCATTAATCTATTACAGAAGCTTAACAAAAAAATCACAAACTGAACCAGTGCTTTTATATATTAGTTTGAGACAGCTAAAATATTTGCACATCCTTGACTTTCTACAGCAATTTTGTCTCATCAGTTTAAATCACCATTTATCATTTGGAATGAAAACACCAAAATTCGACAGCCTTTAACAAAGGACCCACTAAGTCTTAGGTTGAAAATAACAGCAAATGTGCTGTCCTGATATTTGAAAGGCAGGGATCACCCAAAGCTTTGCCAACATGCTCCAGCCTGAAAAAATGAAATTATACCACGCAAACATTTCTTGGGAGTGAGCTTCATTGGGAAAACAGGTAAGGAAACTGTAGCCACATCCCTAAGCTGGCTCCCCTATGGGGCATGTGAAGTTTAAAATTAGATGGTACAAAATGTGCACAACTATAAATGTTCTTATTCCAACAGTTTTCACTGCAGAGGACTGTAATATAGGAGCAGCTTAGAAATGTTTTGTGCATGAAAATGCAAAGCAAGCACTTGCTATCTTAGGACTGGTGTTTTTAGGAAGATGCTATTGACAATATCTAGTTCTTTCAGTGCAAGTTCAAAGCCCACAAGTGAAGCCTTGGCCCACCAGAGAACTATGGGAACTACTTTTATAATGAGTATTTTTTTCTTATTCTCATTGTAGGCTATTAGGTTGAGGGCTCCACATTTGTTATTCACGTTTATAAATTCAATTACTTACATAATGGACAAAAATGAAAAAAAAATTAAGATATATAGTAGAAATATTTGTCATTTCTTATTAGAGTAAAAGAAGAGGACTTCAAAACATAGCTTTAAAAATGAAGGCCAACATTATTTCCAGATGCACAGTTTCTAATGGTCTCAAAAAAACACACTCAAAACTAAACCAATGCTGGAGATAGAATGCACAACATTCTGGACTAATATACATGCAAGACAACAGCCTGAATCAGGAATTCTTGCCCTGAAACCATAATGCCTTGGCACGGTCACAGAGAAGTCAGAAAACAACCTGTCTGTCTCCTTTCCCTTTACCCACAACAGGCAACAGAAAGCCCAGCCCACGAAAAGGGCTACTCAGTGACCATCAGCATTAACCTTTTCTTAAACACATGTAAATCTGGGGGAAGGAAAGACAAAAGTGAAGGCTGATGTGCACTGCCTTTCATATTTCATCCTTAATTCTGTCTTCTCCTCATGCATGCATTGTTAAATGGAGTAACGCATGGGGCTGAAAATTACCAAGCAGGTGTTTAAAAGACATCTGTAAGCAGTTCTGCTATAGTCTAATTAGTGCTCTAATACATATTACAGTGCAGAGTCATCATTATTTCCTCTTCATTAGCTGCTGATATATAATGCATCTTAAAAAAAGTCTAGCTCGTTTTCTTTTTTTTTTTTGAATACAAAAAAAATCCAAACCAAGAGCTTATTTCTGCCATTAACATAACAAAGGCAATAGGAATATGATTAATGCATCCCATCTAAACTATGTGCATTAAACATTAAAAACCAATGCACCATCCCAGCCTAATGTGCATTTGCAAATTATAAAATACGCTTGTCAATATTAACACTTGCACCAAATGAAATGACGTTCGGGAAGAAAATAACGGAAAAAGAAACCTTTTCTTCTGGCTGTCTTTTTGTAACTGCTGATCCCTATTGCTGTTCTTTGGGAAGAGAGAGACCGCCAAGGCCACCAGAATGGACCCAAGGCATGGTCTGAGCTGGTGGGTAGAGAGCTACAGGACAGATCTCCTAGTCACTCCCCTGAGAGGGATCTGTCTCAGCTCCACGCAGTTTTACATCAGTTTTGGCGGGCGATAGCACTCTCTCTGCCCACACAAACAGCTGTAGGATGGAGAAATGGCTAAAACACTACCGTTCCTCTCAGCTGCTCAGATGGACTTTGCAACCACACCGAGCTCAGCCCTGCTGCAGCCGAACGGCTCATGGGACCCCAGCCAGCTCCTTCAAAGCCACCACACATCTAAACTACAGCCACAGCAACGAAGAAACACTTTTAGAGCTTGGGTCTGCCAAACGTTGACGTGTGTCCTTAGAAGCACATCTGCCCATTACACATACTTGATAACTCTTGGGATAACTTGCGCCGAGGACATGTCCTCTCCAAGCTTGTGGTCCAAGTTTCCCTAAATTTCTGAGGCTTTACAGCTATCAAAGCAGAAGAAATTCAAGTGCTTCTTTCCTAGAAATCTTCTGACATCTGCCCAGAAAATCCATCCTGGAAACCTCTATTTTTACCTTGATAATCCCCACCCAGCTGAGGTTCTCTCCCAGTAGAAATTCCAGCCGTGGCTATAGGTGACCCCAGTGGTACAGCACACTTGGCTGTTGATGTCAAACAATCAGGGGTACAGGCTCTTACCCGGCCCGCCCTCTCCTGCTGTCAGCACATCCCCTGGAGAGTCCCGATGATAATTTGGGAGATTGAGCCATACATCAAGGACCCTGCTCCTTTCCTCCCATTCCTGCACAGACTGGATACCCGCAGAAGAGCCCTAAGAGATACTGAGGGCTCGCTAAAATAAGACATTCCCTTTTCCATCTCAAAATTCAATTCTCCATCAAACGTTGAAAATTAAGATGAAGTCACCAGGGGGGACAGCAGCCGAGAAAGGTACATTTTTATGCCTGCTTGGCCTTTGACAGCAGCCCTTTAATTGCAGCACATGGCAAGTCCTCAGCAACTTGCCAATTATCCCTGATCCCCCAAACTCAACTTAAAGCTTCTCTGCAGTTCTGCTCTCCACCTTCTCCAACAGAGCAATAACAGATGCTTCACAAACCGATCCCTTATGAAATGTAACACCAAGTCTATAATGAGGTTTTACTGCAACAACAACAGATTTCACTCTTCCTCTAGAGATCTACAGAAATACAGTCAATTTTTAGAAGAATTCAAGCTTTGGGGAGCAAAAACCCAAAGCTGATGCCAGTCATGAAAGTGATACAAGCAGCAGAGACACTAGGGCTTGGGCCCCGTGCACGCTCGCCTGCTCTGCATGCAGAATCCACACAGACACAGACTTAGACCTCAAACTAAAAGAAAGTGGGTGAATTCACCCCCTGCTGAAGTTCACTGGCACCTCAGCAGTGACTCAGCACCACGGTGTCACCCTGTCCTTGTAGAGGATGAGCCAGGTCCATATCAACATCTCAAGTGGCGGGAAATAGCCCCAGGATTTGCTAGGGGTGTTTCTGCCCATGGTACAAGGACACGTTTTCCTTGGGTTGCTCGAGCATGTCACCTTTAGATGAGATGAGAGGAGGTGCTCACCTGGGGCTGTCTCCTTGCTGAGGAACACGGCAGCTCCCACCACGTCACACAACTCTGGCATGAACCGACGGGGAGTCCAAGTCTCATGATGGGGCAAGAAGAAGACTTGTCAGCAACATCTGCAAAGCCAAGCCAGGAGCGATTCCCTGCTGTGTTCTCTCATGTCTCAGCACAGCCACACTCCATTGCAACGTTATATTTCAAAAGCACCCCAAAAACACAGGTCAACAAGGGCTGTGACTGATGCTGCAGGAAGGTAAGGCTTAACGCCTTCACTTTAAAGACAGGGGATCAGCAGCAAATAGGTTAAACAATTTAGCACAGGTTGTTCGATAAATCAGTCGCAGAGCCTGGGTTGGAATCCAGAGATCTTGTCTCCTGCCATCGTCTTGATTTAGCTCTGCTAGAACCACCTTAATTACTTTGTTTTGTTGTTGCAGGCAAAAACTCAAGCATAGGAAATAGCGTACAGCACCGTGCAGTGCTGAAAAGAAAGCTTGATGGGATTTTCTGCCATCGTCTTGATTTAGCTTTGCTAGAACCACCTTAATTACTTTGTTTTGTTGTTGCAGGCAAAAACTCAAGCATAGGAAATAGCGTACAGCACCGTGCAGTGCTGAAAAGAAAGCTTGATGGGATTTTGTCTCCTTTTCTGTGAATACCCAGGACAAAGAGCAAAAAGGTTGAAAGTAGATGGGTCATTGAGATTTCCTGGTTTGTTTTTACAGGGTTTTTTTTTCCCCCTATTTTTATTATTAGCCAAGAACACTCTGATGTTTCCAAAGGAAAAGGGTAATGGTGTCAAGAAAATTTAATGTGTATTTGAGATGAATTCAATGCAGCTCAGCTTTTGGTGGGCTTTTTTTTAAAGACATGTTTACATCTCAGCTTAAAGAAACTATTCAACCACGTATAACGGGTGTGCTCTATCTCGAGGCATATTAAAGTAGCCCAGAAGCACAATAGTTTGATAATGTCTCAATGCACCATGGACATCGCATTTGATTTCACGTATTGATCACTGTATACAATTAGTTGAGTAAGTGGAAGTTTAAAATCAGTGCTGCTCTTCACTCTTGTTTCCTGTAGTGAATAAAACTGACTGAAGAATAAGTGTGGGAAAGCAATTGTATTCCCTGACCTTAGAAGTGACATCCATCCACAGTAATGAAGCATGAAGGCTTTTAAAATCATGCAGAAGAGCAGTCCATTGGAGTTATGCTGACTGGTCTCTCACCTATGATTTAAAATGGATGCTTAAAGAAATATGATTTTAATGTATTTTTTAATTTACATTAACCTCCAGCTTTCAGGAAGTCAGAGAGTGTCTACTTGCTTAGTTTCAGTTCCAGACATTTCTATATCTGACAAGTAAAAATTGAAAAAGCGTTTAATATGTTTAAAGCCAATAATAAAGCTTTTCTTGCTCTTTTGTCTCATTAAAGGTTTCAGATATTTGTATTGTACTCTAATAGTTGATTACTCAATGGATATAGGTAAATGTCTTTTATTACTGAGACTT